CCGCAGTTGGCTGTGACCTAAAGCCATGGCACATGTCACTGAGCTGTGAGCGGAAGCCTGGGCTGCCTGTGTTTAAGTCTCAGCTCAGTCATGTTGTTGGTATGTGATCTCAGGAAATCTGTTGTGCTCCAAGCCTCAATTTCCTCATCCATAAAATTATATCATAGTGAAGCAATACACTGACAGCATCTTTTATTGTATCATTATAATGACAAGGCTGCCCCCATAGTTTGGTAAATTAAGGCAATTATCCTTGTTCTATTTTTAGTGTCGAGGATTCAGGAGATAAGGGGCCAGTGGCCTGTTGAGACTCAAACTGAATATTCACCAGCACTATTTACCAACAATGAAACCAAGCTAAAATGGAACCTTAAGAGAAACTATTTTGAAAAGTTATAAAAGCTATACTCTTCAGTGGAAGTGTGAATCTTGAGGATAAAGACAAGTCCTTCATTCACTCATTTAACAAATAGTTATAGAATATCTAATATGTGCCAGGCACTGCATTAGGTGTGTGTACATAGGGTAGATTCATGTGGTCCCTGCATTAGAGAATATACACTCTAATTGGTGAGACAGGCAATAAAAAGCAAATACTATATATTAACAAAGGTATCTCAATTGGGAAAGGTGCAACTAAGAATATAAAGCTAGTAGTGAGGCAGAGAATATTAAAATGGGTGCTTACTTTAGACGGAAAGGTTGAGAAGGTCTCTAGGACGAGGTGATGTTTAAGCTTAGAAGGATGACAAGGAGACAGCCATGGGAACAGCCAAGGAAAGAATCATGGGGACAGCCAATGCAAAGGCCCTGAGGTATGTGGAACTTTTTGTGAATTGAAGCTCTGGACTTCTTTCACACACACACTGACTGGATGCCTCCCCTTCCATGCTTCCAGCTGCTTTTCTGACACAGTGTTACAGTATGTGTGAGGCTTGCATTTGGGTCCTGGATGGCTGTGCCCTTTTATACATATCAACTTCAAAGCATGCTGGGATAGCCCTCTTTTCCACACATCTTCCCAGCCTGTATCTTACTCAATGTGACTTTCCCATTCAATCAAGACTGCCCTTGACATTTATATCATTTTGATTTGTTTGCCTACGTTCTTTGCTCAGGTCTTGAGAGATTAGCTGCCAACACAAGGTAGACACTCAAAATATATTTGTTGAGTTTTGGGATGAATTTCTAAAAGTTCATCAAAGACCTTATTTTTTGTGTTTATGGTTTTATCTGCTCATTTATTTTAACATGGGCAGGCTTGGGGGAGAGCAAACGGACTGAAATTTGAAGGAGAATTGTATGGCATTCTGGAATGGCACTCAGTGACTGGAGGGCTACTTCTGGCTGTGTAACTCATTAGTGACATGACCTTGGACAAGACATCCCACTTGAGCCTTGACATCTTCAACTAAAATGAAGGGTTTGGTCCAAGTGCCCTACAATGTCTGTTCTTTGCTGTGACTCATTGGGTTTCAATATTTGCCACTCCTCCCACACTCGCATGAAAGAATTGTTGTCTTTAGACATCAACTTAGTTTATGTGAGAATGTTACCTTACATTTGGTAGGACTTTGTCATTTTCATAGTCCTCTCATCTCCACTATCTCATTTGATATTAACCAGCTACATAAAGTATTGAAGACATTAATTATTTTATATCTCACAAAATGTTAAACTTGCCTAAGGCCATAATGCAGTACAAAAGGGAATGACACTTGTATATCCTGACTATGTGTGGCACACTTAATTGGATAGAATCTCTTCAATGTAAAAGTGGAACAAATTTTTTAACCACTTGAGTAGTGGTAACTGCTTTTTTTTTTTTTTTAATATTATGGACTGTTTTTGAAATGCTGAAATCCAAAGCATCTCCCCCCGCCCCC